GACTTATTTCTCCTTTTCAGTCTACTTTTATTCCTAGCCAGACTATTCAAGACAATATTTTGATCGCACATGAAGCCTTTCACGGCTTAAAGTTGAAGAAATTTGGTAAGCATGGTGTTGTGGCTTTGAAAGTAGATATTTAGAAAGCTTATGATAGTGTTGATTGGCACTGTTTGGAAAATATTTTGAGAGCTCATGGGTTTTGTGAAAAATGGATCCATATGTTCATGCAATGTGTCTCCACAGTGTCATACATGGTGGGAATCAATGGCAATCAAACTCCTTTTTTTGCTCCCCAAAGAGGACTTTGACAAAGAGATCCGTTATCCCCATATTTATATCTCTTTATTGCTAATATATTATCTCGTCTTTTAATGGCAGCAACAGTAGAAAAGATGATACCTGGCTACAAGATTCAAAGTAGAAGCCTTACAATTAGTCACCTCCTCTTCGTTGATGATTCTTTGGTGTTTTGTCGGACTCCACTATAAGAGGTGAGCCATTTACAAACTATTTTGCAACTTTATGGTGATGTTACTGGCCAAAGAGTCAATTTTTCCAAGTCTACTACAATTTTTAGCTCCAATACTCTAACTAGAGTAAGGGAATCAATCTGTAATCGACTTGGAATCTAATTTGAATCCACTATTTCTAAGTACCTCAGCCTACCAACTTGTTGGGGAAGGTCCAAAAAAGATAACTTGAAATATGTCGTCAATAAATTACAAAATAAGCTCTGCCACTAGAAAAAGAACTTATTGTCGCAAATAGGCTGCGAAATCTTAATTAAAGCTGTTGCCATGGCCATTCCTACTTTCACTATGTCATGTTTTTTTGTTTCTTGTAGGAACTTATAGAGAAATTAATCGACTTGTCAGGGAGTTTTGGTGGGGATAGCAAAATGATGAAAGGAAAATCTGTTGGGTTAGTTGGAATCGACTCACAAAAAGCAAGCACTCTAAAGGTATGGGCTTTAAAGACCTATATCGTTTTAATCTTGATATGTTGGCTTGACAAGCATGGCAAATACTACAAAACTCTAATGCTTTATGGGTTCAAGTGTTAAAAAGCTTATATTTTTTGGACTCTTCTTTTTTTGGTGCTAGGAAAGAAGTCACCTTTCATGGGTGTAGTTGAGCATTTTAAAAGGAAGGGACATTGTTCAACTTGGAGTAAGATGGAATGTTGGTAATGGTCAAGACATTCTAATCTTTCAACACAAATGGATCTCTACCTTACTCGGATTTAAGGTTATTTTATCCCTTGGCACTTGTTCTTTGGTCTCTCATGTTTGTGAGTTAACTGATGATTATAGGAAATGAGATATTACTAAGTTAAATGCATGCTTCAGTAGTGAGGAATGTCAAGAAATTCTTAAATTCTTACTGGGGCTTGTTCTGACTCTCTGGTATGGCAACATGCCAAATATGGGAGGTTTTATGTTAAATGTGCTTATCTCCTTGCTCTTAATACTGTTCATGAACCTAGTATGGATAACGATAACATAATCCTTTCTATTGTTGAATGGAAGCACTTATAAAAACTCAAAGTACCCCCTAAGGTTGGAGTGTTTCTATGGAGAGCCATTCTTAACTTTTTACCCTCACTGGATAATTTAGTCAAAAGGGGGATTGTGCAAGAGGCATCATGTCCCTTTTGTCATTCATCTAATGAATCTTTAATGCATTTGCTATATTATTGCCCCTATGTTGAACCAATCTAGTTTGGTTCAACCTTGGGTTTTAACCCTCAACAGTTGGGGGTGGGCTGTTTTGTTGAATGGTGGAGGTATGTTAAGTCTTGTGCAAAACAAATGCATTGTCCTTCTCTTGTTAACAATTGTGCCATTATTTACTGGCATGTGTGGAAGGCAAGAAATGAGAAAATTTATGAACCTGTTGAAAATTTCCCCCAACAGGTTCTTATTCATATTTCATGTATGATCCAAAGAGTACTTATCTCCTAACAGCATGGATTTGTCAGCTCCTCCTTCTAAGTCCCAAATAGCTAGGAAAAAGTACCTTTCCTCTTGATCCAAACCTCCACTAGGCACCATCAAAGTGAATGTAGATGCTTCCTTCTCACCACACCTGGGGTGCACAACTTTGGCTATGGTGGGTCACAATTCGAATGGTGATTTGTGCTTTGGCAAGACTTGGTCTTGTATGGCCTTATCTCCACTTATGGTTGAGGCTATTGCTCCTTTTAAAGCTATTAGATATGTGATAGACAGTTGCTCCTTTTAAAGCTATTAGATATGTGATAGACAGGGGTCTCCATGATGTTATTTTTGAATCTGATAATAAGGTCTTAGTCTCATGCCTTCAGCAAAATAGTAAACCTTGTCCATGGGATGCTAAATCTCTTATTATGAGCATAAGACAATCATGTATTGGCTATCCTAATTTTAGGTTCATGTTTATCCCTAGAGAAGGCAACCAAATAACAGATTGGATTGCCAGATCCTCACTTCATGGCCAATGCCCCTCATATTAGGCACATAGACCTCCTAATATTTTACTTTACTTGTTATATAGGGATGTAAATTACATGTAATCTTATATATAAATTTTTAGTTTCTCGAATGGTCCGTTTCGGCC